AGTGGGCACACTGCAGTACATCACAATGTGTTAAAGGGAACTAGCTGTTGTCAGTCCCTTTGTGTAGGAAAACGTCCACTCTCCCCTCATAGTATTTGGCAAATGGGGTTTAACTCATGACTGTCTGACATGCGGACGAAATACTGGTGTCATAGTCAATTTATATATTCACAAAGTCAATTTCTATTTTCATATAGAAAATAAGTAAAAATAGAAGTTCTAATATTCTTCCTCTGTCTCCTGGGGATTCTGTACCCCACTTTTGAGAGTACAGATTTCATTGTAGGATGGCTGATTCACTACTGTAGTGACATTGGATACTCCCAGAATCCATTCCCTGCTTCTCCAGCCAACACTAGCCTGATTCTCTTTCGGGTGGTTCCACTTGACATCAGTTTGGGGATGTCAAGAAACTCAATTTGGACTTCAAAACAGGATATCCTAGGACTCTTTTTTTTTTTTTTTTTTTTGAGGTAGGGTCTCTGTTGCCCAGGCTGGAGTGTAGTGTAGGATCATGGCTTACTGCTGCCTCAACCTCCCAGGCTCAAGTGATCTTCCCACTTCAGCCTCCTGAGCCACTGGGACTACAGGTGCATGTCACCACGCCCAGCTAATGTAAAAAAAAATTGGTAGAGATGGGGTCTTCCTATGTTGCCCATGCTGATCTCAAACTGCTGGGCTCAAGCAATCCCCCCACCTTAGCCTCCCAAAGTGCTGGGATTATAGGCATGAGCCACCACACCCAGCCTCCTAGGACTTTTGTAGCAGCTCCAAAAAGAAGCTATGTCCCTCATCCACATGGTATAGTCCAAGGGTGTGAATTGGCCAGCACTGCAGCTAGTTTACCACACTGATAGCATAGACTGGAGCTTCCAGGAGCCACACTGTGACATCCGGGGATGAAATGAGACTGCTGAAGGTAGGGGCAAGAGAAGGCAAGAAATGGGATCTTTGGTGACCTTATTTGAGCTCCTGGATGAAGGCTTATCTAAATCCAGTCCTATCCATGGACTTCACAGCTGTAGGGGTCAATAAATTCCATTTAATTGTATAAACCATATTTAAGTTGGTTTCTCTGTCACCTGAAACAAAAAAAATCCCTCATTAATATAAACTGTCAGCCCTCTCATGCAGTTTGTTTTCTGATTTTTACTTATTTTCATCTTTTGCTTTATTTATTGCAGAGTTAACCATACGCCATAGCACAGTTTTATGATCAGTACCTGTAAGATCTCTCTAGTGAATTATTTCCATAGCAGTGCATCTTAATTACATGCTTACTGTGTACTAGGCACTATTCTAAGTACTTTACATATTGATACATTTAATCTGCACAATAACTCTATGAAATCAGTACAATTATTATCACGATTTTATAGATGAGGCAACTGAGATGCAGAGAGGTTAAGTAACTTGCCCAAGGTTACATAATAAGTAGTAAAGCCAAGATTTACTACCAAAGCAATTTTGTACCAAGGCAGTCTGTCTCATAAACCCATGCTTTTAATTGCTACAGTACACCACAAAGATTACACTAGTCACATGCTAACACTGATATTGTCCAACTGTCTGATTTTTGCTGCCATTGTGATGAGTGTAAAGTGACATTTATAATTTACTGTGTAACTTTGGACAAACTACTCAAACTCTGTGTCTGTTTCTTCATCTGTAAATTGGAGATAATAAAATAATACTGATTTCAAACAGTTGTTGTACAATTTAAATGATAGTAGTGATGTTGAGCGTCTTTACTTATTGTCCATTTGGGGTTCCCTTTTTGGAAATTGCCTGTTCATACCTATTGCCCTTTTTTATTGGGTTTCCTGTCTTTTTCTTATTGATTTGCAGAGTGTGTGTATGTGTGTGTGTTATGAGTTACATGTCAGTTTTAGATATTTATACCTCCTTCTATCATTCTGTCTATGGTGCCCTTAGTTGAACAGGAATCTTGTGTTTCATTTTTATATACTCAAATCCATTCATTGTGTTCCAAATGTAGAGAGGATAAAGATATGAAAAACATTGTTTATGCTCTAAGCAACTCAAAAGTAGCTGGAGAATCAAGAACAACTATGAGAACAAGTGTTAAACATTGTATAGCAGTCTGCAATATGATGCCCTAAGTTGTAAGGCTGAGTAGCCAACAGTATAAACTTGGGAAAGTATCTAAATCTTCCTGAGCTTCAGTTTTATTTGGAAAAACGGAAACAATTTAAAAAAAGACCTTTCCATTTACTGTATTTTTTAAAATTTTTATTTATTATTATTATTATTATTATTATTTTGAGATGGAGTCTCTCCCTGTTGCCCAATCTCAGCTCACTGCAACTTCTGCCTCCTGCGGTCAAGCAATTCTGGTGCCTCAGCCTCCTAAGCAGCTGGCACTACAGTTGCCCACCACCATACCCAGCTAATTTTTGTATTTTTAGTAGAGATGGGGTTTAATCATGTTGGCTAGGATGGTCTCGAACTCCTGGCCTCAAGTGATCCGCCTGCTTTAGCCTCCCAAAGTGCTGGGATTACAAGGCGCGAGCCATCATGCCCAGGCTCCTTTCCATCTATTGTGATAATTAAATAAAATAAGAGATGTTGAATGGTTCTCATAGTACCTGGTGTATAGTACCAACTACAATTTAGATGCAAAACAGATCAATGAGATAATAATGGCTATCATGTTTGGAGGTCTACTACCTGCCAGGCACTTTTTATATGTATCTGCTTAAATTTCACAACTCCCCGCAAGGCATTATCACTGTCATTTGTCAGATGCAGAAACCTAGGTTCAGAGGGCTTATTATTTGATGAAAGTCAGGCCACACAGCTAGTAAATGGCAGTGATAGGATGGAAAGCCAGATTGCTTTGACCTCAAACCTCCCGTGCCTTCTACTATGCCAAGCTGTTGTCAGAAAAGATACTAAGGAAGCAATGAAACTTGACGTGGTTCCTGAAAACAAAGCAAACAAACCAACCCAAGCATTTTAGTAGATAGGAGGAAGGGAGGAAAGATCATGCCAGATTCTGAGAGAGTGCAGTGGATCTGCAAGGGATGCAATGTATTGAGAGTTATTCGAGGGCAGAAGCAAAACTTTATCCACCATACTTCCCTTCAATCCTCACACAGTGACCAAGACAGAGTATCTGGTGCGGAACATTTATTCCCTAATCTTATTATCCTAACAGGGGAGCAGGAGTAAGTTGTCTGACTGGCGAGTTTGAAAGAATTGGGCATGTGTCACTCTATCCCCTCAAGTTTGGGGAGCAGGCATGTCCCAGGAGGCACATGTTTTCTGCTCTTCCATGCAGTCAGTCTAGTTTTTACACAGGCAGGTTTTCCAGCTCTGCTTGTGACTGAGTGGACATGTTCAATTCTGGGCCCACTGTCCCTTCAGATCTAAAGTCATGGCTGCCATTCCAGCCTTTAGCAGAGACAAAGCTGACATTTTGCTCTCCATAAGTCTGACTCCTGCTGCTATCTCAATGGATTCTGAACTTACATGGGGACCATGGGTTTATCTTGAAGCCCCCTAAAGCCACAACAGTGGGCACTCAACAAACCAGCAGAGTGAAAATGACAAGTTCAGAGGACAATGAGAAGACGGGCCTGCTTTGAGTGGAGGAAGCACGCCGATGTAGTTGAAGAGAAGTTAGATGAACAGGGTGGGCCCAGTAATGGACAGCTTATAAGAAGGGCAGAGTTTGGATTTGATGTGGGAAGAAGAGCGTTGAAAGTTTCTGAGTGGAGGAAGAACATGAACACTAGGAAGACAGTGTTTAAAATAAGGTAGCGAACGAATATGAAAATGGATTGCAGTAGAGACTACAGGGAAGAGACTGGAGCCCTAGGACAAAGAAAGGAGGTTTCTAGAATTTCTGAGTGAGGGAGGATGAAGGTTTGGCCTAGGAAAGTGGACATGTGAACGGAGGCGAGGGGATGCATATGAGATCTCAGCGGGTAAACTGCCAGGCTAAGGGTACAAGCTGGCTCTGAGAAAAGGAGATAGGTTTGAAGGCAACCACGCTGAAAGAGGTAGATGAGCAGGCCCTGAAGCTGAGGGAAGTGAGGCTTAGCTTTGGGCATGTGAAATCTGAGTTGCTAAGTGGGTCTGTTCTCCGCACCAGTTATGGCAGGAAAGGCGCCTTAATTATGAGCATTTTAGGGAGTTAACCCTGTGAAAGAGGTAGCACACTTTCGAAGGCCAAGGGGTGGGACGAAGGTGGTGAAGATGGCAAGCCTGAACACAGAGGCTACTTGGGATGACAGGGGTGGGAGGAGGGACACAGGTGATGAGTGAGTGGGCGAAGAGGAGGGGGACACCACTCCCGGGCCCGAGGGAACGAGGGGATGAGGCTGCCGGCAAATGCTGGACTCAGGATCTTCCCAGCAGAGCAGGGCGCCCGCCACCTCACCCAGGACAATGCACCGTAGAACCCACAGCAGACTTCCCCACGCCGGGCGGTCTTCCCGGCCCTGCACCCACTTCCCGGTGCCCCGCTGCCCTGTTGCCGTGACACCCTCGACCCCGGGATGCGGGGTCTCCTCTGCCTCCCTGGGCCTCCCCCTTCAGCCTTGGGGGGCGGCTCCGCTTCCCAGGCCGCGGGACGTCTTTACCTCCAGGTTCCAGTCCCGGCCCTTCCCGGGCCCCCCGCGGCACCGCCCACCTGGCCACAGCCGCAGCCCGCCCGGGCCGCCGCCAGCCAGCAGCCCCTCCCGGGGTGGAGTTTCCCCTCCCCCTCCCCCTTTGTGGCAGGGCCCCACGGGACGCCCCCTCTGCCTCCGCTGCACGTCCAGTGGGACGAAGGGGCGCCGTACTAGGGGCCGTGCGGAGAGAAGGGTTCGGCGGCGCCAGGACTCCCGCGGGCTCCCCGGAGCAGGGGGCGGGAGGAGGGGGAGCGGGAGCCGCGGGGGCCTCTGCAGCAGAAGGGGGAGGAGAATGGGGAGGAGCTGGTGGGCAGGCAGGCGGGGAAGGAGAGGTCTTAAGGGGCGGCGAGCCCAGGTCGGATTTCCTCCGAGGCTGGCGATCGGCGGAGCTCCAACCTCCCCTTAGAGCTCGCTGCGGCCGTCCTGCCCCGTGCCCTCGGAGACCTGGACCGTAGCACGGTGAGCGCAGGGCGCGACGCGCGGAGGCCGGACTCTTCGGGCGGCCGGGGGTGCTCGGGCGGAGGGAGCGAGCCTGCGGGACCCGAGCAAGTTTCCCAGGTCGGCGCGGGGCCCGGCGCCTTCAGACCCGCTCTCTTCTCTCTTCCGCAGATGTGGAAACGCTGGCTCGCGCTCGCGCTAGCGCTGGTGGCGGTCGCCTGGGTCCGCGCCGAGGTAGGCGAGGGGCCGAGGAGTCCGAACTCGGTCCCCGGGGCCGCTTGGGTCTGCGCGCTGGGCGGGTGGGCGCGCGTCCTGGGGATGCTCTCCCGGGGTGGCGCTGGGAGTTTCCGTCCTTGGGGTGGGCTGGGGTGGAGCTGGGGGAGTGCTGTGAACAGAAATGCTACTCACGAAACTTAAATCTCTAAAGCAGGAAAAGTAGTTCGGGCCGTAAGCGGGAGCCCCAACGCGGCTAACATGGAGGGAGAGCGGGGAGGAGGAGAGGGGACGGGCTGGGCCGACGGGGACGAGGCGGCGACTGGAGCAGCAGCGAGTTCAAAAAGGCGCCTCAGTTCCTTCCTTCACTTCAGAGGAGACAGAGTAGTTGGGGACTTTTCCCTCCCAAGTCTGTCTCCGGGGGGCAGGGGCAGAGGAATCTCCGGATTCTTCTTTTGGGGCAAAATTAATTTTCCTTTCTCTCTTTTAAAGTGAGATCATGATTCCCTGAAATGTATTTTTTTCTTTGTGGAGTGCCCTCGGGTTACGTGTTATCATCTGGGCCATGTAACGGCCTTTTCCGAAATGTTCCCTGTAACGTTGCGCAAGTGTAAGAGAAAATCCATTGCTCTGCTCTTTGGGGGCTCGAGTTTCCAGTTAAAGCGTTTCAGCGCTTGTTTTTTTGTACCAATTTTTTCAACTCTAACGACCTTCCTGAGACACTACAAACAAACCAACAAACTCTTTGCTCAGAAGCCCCTCCATTAACTCAAAGGTTTATGGACAGAAAATAAACAATTCTAAATTCCCCGGGCTCCAGTCTCCAGGAAAGTGAGGTCAGAAACTAAACATTTGATAATTATGGCAGGAAATATGGAAGGAATTAAAAAGCATGAGGGAGAAGAAATGGAATGCACATTACAAAAGAAATAGCTCCCTGGTGGGTGGTTTATGCTCCCCGTTTGAATTTTTTCCTTCATATTACAGTTTAACCACACCCTTAGCATTGCAGCTTGACTCTGCCCAAAAAAGTCATAAATGCATACAAGGTCTTCACAATTTTTAAAAAATACGCATTGGTCTGAATTCTCATTTAATTCACTACTGCATTGTTGATTGAGGTGGAAACTCAATCAACTGTTTTTACTCCCAATGAAATAAAAGTAGCTAATATTTATTAAATATCTGCTGTGTTGTAATAGAATTCCACTTTAATGACAGATACATTGAGTCAGAGAAGCTTACCCAATGCTCTCAGCTACTAAATGCTAAGGGTGGGATTTGAACCCAAACAGTCTGGCTCCGGACCCAAGGCTCTTGACTACTAGACCACACCACTTCCAAGCACAATGGTTTAACATTTACCAAGTACATTTTTGTATACCACACATTGGGCTATGTACATTACTTGCAGTTATTTCTTTTAAAGCTCCCAAACCCTATAATGTAGGTTTTATTAACCCGATTTTACAGAGGAGGAAACAGGTTTAAGGAGATTAGGTAACTTGCCCAGGGTCATACAACTAGTTAGCTCTGAAGCAGGATCTGAGCCCACCTGTCTATCTTTGGAGCCCATCTTGAATTCCATGTCTGCTTCTTACCCATTTGGTTTCCAGGGTTTGCATTTGAGGGAGTATTCCCCTTCACTGGCTGATGTAGCCCTGGTTAAGAAACATTCCTCCATCCCCTGCTGTGGCCCTCAAAAGGCAGCTGCAGACCAGTGATGGATGAGGTGAATCCCTGGTTGGTTTTCCAGCAGGCTTAAGAATTGCCAGCCAGTGTGTGAAATCACTCAGTGAACTGGAATGCAAATATGAGGTGTGAGGAGGCTGCTGGTTCACTCACCAGGCTGTGTGGCCCAAGGTCTGGGATCTATTCTAGGCGGCCTGCAAGACACACACCCCTCCCAACCCCCTTCCTCACAGGGAAAACTTATCCCTGGTAGGAAGTTCCCCCAGCAGCAATTTCCTGCTGGAGGTAGAAGAGCATCCAGTGCTCTCACAGAATTCCCAGGCGAACTCTACAGGGAAGAAGGCAAAATAGAGAAGTACTGAGATGTAAAAACAGAGTGTGTTGGTGGAGAAAGGAGACTGTAAACTCAGTGTGTGGAAATGGTCACAATGAAAAGAGCGAGGGGTAGGTATGAGCTAGGTTACATTCCATGGCTCCAGGTTATTAAGGATTATTATCTTTTAATTATTCCAACTTCCTGGTGCCTGGCCAAGTAACATTTGGCAAGTTTTTAATCCATTTAATAATAATATACCTTTAACTATTGATGAGGAGGTACATTAACCCTCTCCCTCTGGGAATGGAAATTTGGATTTTTTTTAAAGCATTTTATCTTGTAGTTAGTGGTGCTTGCCGTTTAAATGTCTTCCTTGTTAACTCTAGGGACGGTCTGCAGAAATTGTCACATCATGATATTTACAGTCTTTATTGACATGAATCTATTGTAAACTTTAAATCAGCTAAAATTGTACGAATATTGTTGAACTTTTTAGAAATGAAATTTAGAAAATGAGGTGTCTTGGTGCTTTGTGCTTTTTTGCAACCGTAAATATTTAATTCAGCATATTTAAAAAAAATTTTAATCGCTTTACAAATCATGTTAATATTTGAAGCAGCCAGAGCCTCTGTAGTAAACTTCAGAATCAGAGTTGCTCACCACTTGGGAAAAGGTAATTGTCATCAGTATTAATGCCAGTCTATGTCAATCCCATTTGGTTAGATTCTCAAAATTATTAACAAAAGTCATTAAGGAGCCTGGGCTTAGGGGCTCATGCCTGTAGTCCCAGCACTTTGGGAGGCCAAGATGGAAGGACTACTTGAGTCCAGGAATTTGAGACCAGCCTTGGCAACATGGTGAGACCATATCTCTACAAAAAATAAGAAAATTAGTTGGGCATGTTAGCACACGCCTCTGGTCCCAGCTACTCGGGAGGCTGAAGCAGGAAAATCACTTGAGCCCAGGAGGTTGAGGCTGCAGTGAGCCATGATGGTGCCACTGCACTCCAGCCTGAGCAACAGAACGAAACCTTGTATTTAAAAAAATAGAAACAAACTCATTAAGCAGAGTGTCATATTGTTTTGAATGTGTTTCATGGTCTCCTACTTCCTTGGCACCTCGTGATTGCTTTCTCATTGCTGCTTCTCTTTCTTACCTGCTCACTCTCTTACTACTCTGTCTGCAGCATATACCTTCAGCCAGCCTCCCTCCAGATTCTGCCACATCCACCTGAGCACACACACCCATGCACTCTGTAGTCTGCTTGAAAGAGGGTACTGGGTGCAGCGTATGTCTCTAGATGTGTGTAGATTAACATGTGAATGGACTAGGCAGAGAGGGCAGCAGCAGAGGGAATGCCTCCACTAACAATTACACAGATACGCCTTTTCTAGATTATCTGGGGAGAGGCCTGTGTGAGCCTGCTCTTCAACCCTTTCCCATCCCCTTCGCATTGGGAATTACTGCAGTTCATTGAGAAGTGTTGATGGTGGATGCATGATACGGAGCCTGGGAAAATGTTAAGAACACAGGCGGTAGTGTGTGTGCCCTTGAAGCTCAGTCAGTGGATATCTGTCACTCTAACATGGCGGGCTGAAGAGAACCCTGTGAGCCCAACTGCCTGCTTTAGGAAGACAGCCCTGGCAAGTACCCAAGCATATCCCAACTCTCCTTTGGTGGATGTCTCTGCTGTCACTATGATTCCCAGCATTCCAGGTCTAGAAATTCATTATGATAAGTCACATGTACAGTTGACTGATTTGTAGTTCAGAATCCTCGTTCCAGTAAGGGATCCATGCTTGACCCATGAACTTTGAGTGCTTTACCTAAGAGAGAACAGTAACAATTCTACAAACAGATGTACTTCACTTAGCTCTAGACGTGCAATACTAGAAGATTATGAGGGCTTTGTCCTTCTGAGGCCACGTTTCTTAACCTCATTTGTACCCTATTATCAGCATATAGTTAACCGCTAGGGGTTTTATTCGGGAGCTCCTCTGTGTTCTTTAGAATTGTTCTGATGGTAGACTCAAGTAAGCCTTGCATCTAACCCGTATCTCTGACTGCATCTTCTTGGAGCCACAACTTGTATTATTAACAAAGCTAAAGAGATCACTAAAATGATCTCTTGCTTGTTTATCCTTTGGCAAATAAGCTACTTGTTGCAATTCTAGAGACCACTGCTGGAAATTGGGCTGTAAAACATAGCAGGGATTCTGCGGACTAGCCAGAACAGAAGGACAAGCACCCAGCATATGAGGCCCTGGCCATTGCAAGTGGCTTTAGAAGGTGGACACGTTACAGTTCTCTTAGAACTTTCTGGATTGGGTGACAGAAACCAAGACTCCATCCCCAGGCTCACAGAAGCAAGTTGGAGAGGAACCATGAGGTGACAATCTGGTTGTGGGCTGAGGTGGATGTAATGATCCCAGAGGAAATGCCCCAAAGATGAAAAGAAAGTCTTCAAAGTCAGTGAGGCAGAGCAACGCATGCTGCCACAAGAACAGGAAGTAAAGGATGAGCTGTAAATACCAGTGATCACATATGAGAATTGAAAATGTCATGGATTCTTTGTCTTAGTCCTCTTCAAATAACTGGACGTCTGGCAGAATGTTTCTAACAGACATAAATTTTATTAGGTTAATGATACCAGTTAATAGGGAAAAGTAGAGTTAGATAGGTTCATGTTGTAAGCCAGATGAATAATGTCCTCAGAAGGCAAATGCATACTTTTTGTCTAGGATGCTCTATTCTGACTCCTGCTATTTTGGCAAGGGGCACTTTCTCTAAGAGGACGCCATGAATGGCGTGGCCTTCCCTTCACTGTCCTCATCGAGCCTATTCCCTCCTGCAGCTGAGCGCACCTGGTACTCAGGTGACCTGAGTCACAGTGAAGCACAGGGCATGGTCTCTGCCCTCAAATTATTTACAATCTAGTGGTGGGCCCAGGTGCTTTAAATCATGGCAGCTACAGTTTATATTATTATAACTACATAGTAACTAGCAGTTTTAT